ATATTTTCTCTGTGATCAGGCTTTTTCCTACTATATTATAATATAATGATATATATATATCATTATAATATAATAATATATAATATATATAATATAATAATATTAATAATAATATATAATATAATATATATAATATATAATATAATATAATAATAATAATTAAGTGTGTGTGTATGTGAGAGTTGAGGTGGGTATAGGAAAAAGGTCAAGTATCAGATATTAACCAAAGGAACCCCATGCAGTGACATAATGCTTGTACCTTGATTAACGACCCTTTTTCCAAGACACTCTTTCTTGGAAATGACTATCTACCCTTCAAGACTCATCAATACAACATAAGCAACATAAGCCTTTAACGGAATCAGACAAAAGCAGAGAAGTGATAGGCCGACTACATAGAAATAAGATGCCACTGACAAGTGTCAGCACAGAGTCATCACAAAAACATCAGCACATAGAGTCAATCATCTCACAAAGGCTCCAGGCCCTTCAAGTTCAGCCAGGAAATACCCACCTGCCCACTGGGCTCCCCAGGAGGGCAGAGATGAGGGACTAAAATATCCACCCCTTAGCTCTGAAATGATAACAGCGATCTTAAATCACAAGTGTATTCACAGCATCTTCAAATGTGTATCATTTGTTCACATCCATGGCGGGGACCGAGAACTGAAAGTCATTTGTATAGCAATCCAGCAGGCTTGATTATGGTTTGTTAGGTCTCTTTTGGTTCTCAACACTGTTATATTGTACCCATCCCTACCAGAAATCTTAATTCCTCTCTTCTCCCAGAAAGAAATCAGATGTGTGCACTTTAGTTCTGATCTCTTTAAATTTCTAGTTTGTGTTGCTGCATGTATTTTTTTAAACTAACAACAGTATGCCCAACAAGACATGAGAGGAATATATCTTATGTAAATTCTGTACTTTGCATTGTGTTAGGAGGGGTCTGCTCACACAGTTAGTTACTAAACAACCTATTGAAAGCAAAGTGGGTGAGATTGTCAACTTGAAGTGAGAACAAGAGTCATTTAATTGCTGGATGTGGAGAAGTGTGAGAGACAGCTGAAGATATTCTCCAAGCTGACAAAAGGACAGAGCACTCAGCACCCAGCACATTTCCTGCATGAGGAGCATCTGAGGGGTTCCCAGGACAGGAATAAGCTCTTTAATCTGTAATCAGTTATAGAGCAGAATATTGGCTGATACTTCAGTGTTGAAGTAACAGGTTACATTTAAAGATGTACAACATGCAAAGAAAGGGGCTCAACCACATATGGATTTGCCCCAGTCAGGAAGAGGGTCTTGTTGTCTGTCCATGAAATAGTAAACTGTTCAATGGCCCAGTGCAGTATCTGTGTATCTCTGCTGAGTAGGAGGACAGAGGGGTGTGAGATCAGGAACGGTGGAGTTTAACTAGAGTTTAAATGCCTCATATCCTTTTCCTTGGAGATGCTAAATATTTCAAGTGTAATGTGCATGGCAGATGCTGTCTGGCCTGGGAACAATGAAAGGGAAGTACTGTGGCCTCTCCTAACAATGAGCCATGAAAGGACAGTGTGTGGACGCCTGTCATGTCCCATCACACCATGATGGTCTTCCAGGCTCTTGGGTTCTAACTATGCTATAACCAAGCCCAGGAAATGCTAGACAGAGGATAAACCCATGATATGAACATTCCCCAAAGTAGATACCATTCTGCATTTCTAAAGGAGAGAGGGCTGATCTTCAGGTGCTTAAAATGTGCTGCTTGGGTGTCAGATAGAATTACAGGGACAGAAACGTCTTCTTGTATTTCAAAATCACAGACCACCTAAACCTGGATTCCCAGATGTTGCAATATTAATGTCAGGAACTGAATCAAGCAGATGAAAGACTCTGGGAGGGATGGGAATTGATTCTCCAGTGTACTCAGAAGCCTCCTGGGGAACTGGAATGAAGGGATGTAATATAGAAGAAGGTCTCTCTGTTCCCCTTCCTTCCTAATCCAGAGTGGTTCCACATTTCTCAAGTGTGGAGTGCAGTTTCACTAGGAAACATACTTTTCCATTAAAACAAACATGAGTCTTATTTTGTATGGGAAAGAAAGAGCTGACAGTGACATCATTAGGATGATAGCTATGAGTGTCTCCTAGCCCATGTCCCCTCTGCACAAACATCTGCTTGTGTCCGTCCACTATCAAGTAGAAACATACTGCCCCCACAGAACAGGCTGCTGGCTTCTATACTAGCAAGAAACTCTCAGAGATCCAGTTAAAACAGAAAGAAGTAAAAGATGCACACAGGTTTAGGGGCTGGAGAGATGGCTCAGAGGTAAAATGTTTGCTGTGCAATCTTGACAACCTGAGTTCAGCCCTCAGAACTCACTGTGGAATGAAAGAACAGTCATC